AGAGGGGTCCGTGGGCCTCCGCCGGAAACTGGTTATTGAAATATGCCCATTTTAATTATTTTGAGTCCTAGAAATCTTTTTAAAATTTACTTTCACTTTCGTAATTAAATTTAAACTCTGAGGCATGTCATTGACGAATACAATAATTGTGCAGTGCATATGGCAGCAGTGGCGTAGCGAGGGTGTTTGGCGCCCGGGGACAAGATTCGCGCCCGGGGACAAGATCCATTTTTAGCGCCCCTTTTTCTTTTTTTTTTCAACTCTCAAACCCATTATTTTCATCAATAAAATAACATCAAAGCACATTTTGGCGCCCCTAACTAGCTGGCGCCCGGGGACATCTGTCGTCCCCCTGCCCCCACCACGCTACGCCTCTGTATGGCAGGGACACTGTCTTTTACGCAGCGTCGGCAGAGTGGTGGAGGGGGAACGGTGCAGCCATCACACGAGCCCACATCACTACTGGCACTGGCTACACAGCTAGCCAAAATATTACTTAAAGTTATATTATAAATTAGGAAGTTTTAGTGATTTGAAAATGTGTTTGGTTTTAGAAAAGGGACATTTAGGCGTCCCGATAATTTTTTTCGGGACACCGGGTACGATCGTGAAAAAAACGGACAATCTCGTTTTTTACAGGACGTTTGGTCACCTTAGTCTTTAACCCTCTCTCAAAGAAAACACACGGCATAAGGTGGCTTTTAGACCTTGCTTGATATCCACAGGAGTAGCGTAACTTGACTAAATCCAGGGAAAGCTCCTCAAATGGAGCCCCCCACCCCAAACATACACATCTGTTGTATAATGTTATTGGGGGCATGGCGCCCGCAGGGGGGGCAAGGGGGGCACTCCCCCCTGGATTGATTGGATAAAAAAATTTTAGACAAAAAATTTATTAAAGTAAAGAGAAAATAAAGAGAAAGTAACTAAGCTGATGTCCTGTCCGTTCGTTCACTATGCAAATACGCTACAGTAAATTAAAACTACATTAAAACATTACTAAAAATTTTTTGCCCCCCCCCCTAGAAAGTTAATCGATTTTTTTGCCCCCCCCCCCCCTAGAAAATTTTCTGCGGGCGCCCATAAAATTTTTTGCCCCCCCCCCTAGAAAGTTAATCGATTTTTTTGCCCCCCCCCCCCCTAGAAAATTTTCTGCGGGCGCCCATGATTGGGGGTAATAAATATTAACAACTGTGATGCCCTCACTTCCGTTTGGCTTAAGCTAGACTTAACTCTCTGACATTCCATACCCCCAGAACTCCTTGCTTCAACTCTTAAAATTGTAATAATTTGGTATGTCAATGTAGGGCTGTGCGAAGTGGATGGAGAAGGGGCTACTTCCCCCTGGTACCAAAATCAGGGGGTTGGGGACAAAATTGTTCTCAGATAAAACCTTGATAATGGGTAAATTAAACTCATTCACCCAGAGGAGCATCGACAGTTTGGAGGCGGTCCAACGACGGGCAGCACCTCTAGTGTTGGCAGCATGCTTGAAACACTGGGCTGATCGCCACTGACGGAACGACGACAATTATCCTGGCTCTCCATGAAAAATCGCCCCCCCCCCTTCCACTAGACAGCGACGAGGCCATGGCAGGCAGTTCCAGCCCATAACAGTGATAACAGCAAGAACACAGTACAGGAACTGCTCATTCCTGCCAAAGACAATCGGGGACTGGAACAAGCTTCGAAAAGGAACGTTTGAGGCGACAATACTTGAAACATTTGCGTCTATTGCCTCACGCCTTCCAACCCCAAGTTCCTGATACCCTCTCTATGTAGCCCTTGCAACCAGTGAAATATCATATTCAAAGCCAGGCACAGATACATTACGAATCACCTTTACATACATAGGAGCCAAAATGATTTATGCATTGATCGTGGGCCCTTAATATATAGAAGAAGACGAAGATACGATAAAACCCCATGTCCATGTACCAATATTTCACTGAGGATAAACAACAATTTTTGCCAGTCCGCCTCTGGTAGTTCTTTTTTCTATATATAAAGGGTTGACATTTTCAGGCCTCACCCTGGCGCCGCTATTTCTCGACATGGCTCTGTATCGATGGGAGTAAACTCGAAAATCAGTTTTTAAAAAAAAAAAAAATATAAAGAAGGAGAAACATTTTAATTTAAAGATGATATTTTGTTTCGCAGTTGTCTACTTCCGCCTTAAAACTATTTTAGAAAATAAGGATAAAATGTCAATAAACAGTCAATACTCATCATACTCAAAGATATATGCCAAGAATGAATGAAAAGTGCATTTTCAAAAATGAAAACAAATTGATTATTTCTTCCAGTCTTCGTTTTGTGGCATCAGCAAGGATGGGTTTATTTTTTTAAATAATTTCTTTTGAACCTTGTAAGTTGAGGCTTATCTAAGTTGAATTTTAATAACAGGAATGGCAATTTCATTTATTATTAAATTATTTTATTATTTAGTATAATTATTTATTAGTCATTAGATTTAGATGATTAGATTAGTAGGCCTAAAAAATGAAGAAAAAGAAATTATTATTTTTACAATATTGCCCATGACCATAGCGTGTTTTGTTAAAATGGCAGTAAATGATGTGTCCATTTCATTTATCATTATCATTAACAAATAGAGCCCTGGGAAGCCACAATTATTCTAGGTGCTCAACTCGCCCCACTCAGTCACTTCATATTTTTAAATAAATGTAGCCTAAATTAGTAAATATAATAAAAAGCTTCTCCTCTATAGGGGTGCTACTTTTCCAGGATTATCCTGGAATTCCGGATTCGTGAGGCTAAATATTTTTCAGCTCTGGATTCGCGAGTTTTTATTTTTCTCGCTCCGGACTCACCAGTTCAGTTTATTCAAATAAATATTCTGGGTTTTAAAAAAAATAAATCAATGTGTAAGAACACGCGAAAGCGTATTCAGTGAGAGCGGGTTCGCTATAAATATTACAGGTACTGCGACCACTCGCTTTTGTTTGCAAGCCTCTCACTTTCCTTTGTAATCATTGCACAAGAAATTATTTCTACAGTGTATGAATTTTATGAGTTTCGTTAAGTTTCAGGGTTTGAAAAATTTGTTAATGAAGTTTCAGGTTTCAAGAAATTTTTAGAAAGGGATTTCAGGGTTCACAGCTTTCAGTGGGTGGCAGGTGCCACTGGCACCCCTGCTCTTCTCTTTTTATGAAATTAAATAAGACTAGACTATTTTAATTAGCCTGGTTCTTATTGATTTTTGATTTTGTTTACAGCATCTCTAAATTTTTGCTGCCTTGGTCCTTGTAAATAAAGTGGATAAAGTATTATTTCTCTTATTTTTTGGTCTTCAAAATTTAAAGAAGTTTTATTGATGTTTTAGTTTAATTTTAGAATTATTTTAATTCTAAAAATAAATTAAATTATCAGTTCCATGAATGTTTAACATTTTATTTTAATTTTAGGTTTAGGTGAAAGATGTCTGGGAAAGAGAATCATCGTAAGCGAAAGTTAAATATGGAAGATAACCATCCTGTAGCTGAAAGGCGTAGATCATCTTTGAGCTTAAAACTTTCAGAAGCAATTGCAGTTGGAAATATAGAAGAGGCGGCACGTCTTTTACAATCAAGTTCTGTACCTAGTCAGACTCTAAGTAATGCTTTTATTAAAGCAGTAGAGCTTGGTCAGAAACGTATTCTTCAAATGCTGGTTACTGATGGTGCAAATGTTAACAAGAGAGACAACAGAGGATATACAGCACTAATGATTTCCTCAGAGCATGGCTATGTCGACTTGGCAAAAATTCTAGTAAGAAATGGTATAAATGTTAACTGCCAAAACAAACTTGGCCAAACTGCACTTATCATAGGGGCAGAAAAGGCATGTTCACTTCCATTTCTAGAGTATCTTTTAAGTGAAGAAAGCAATGCAGATGTTAACATACAAGACAAAAGTGGGAAAACAGCCCTAATGATGTCCATTGAAAGGCATGATTATTGTGCAATGAAGCTATTTATCTATCGCAAAAGAACTGATTTCAACTTGAAAGACAAAAGTAACAGAACTGCCACTGACATTGCCAGACAATGTGGAAATGAAGACCTGTTTCACATATTAAAAGGCTGCTCTGAGAGCGATCACTTTATTACCCCACTAATGTTGGCAGTGAAAAAAGGTACCTTGGGTCTTGTAAAGTTAATTCTTGAAGCATATGGTCCTGAAACTATTGATTTGACTGATGTCAGAGGCTTTACACCACTAATGATGTCTCTGGACAGCTCAATCAAGATTGATATAGTTAAAGTACTCCTAAAGGCAGGAGCTTCTGTAAATAAGGCCAACAAGAATGATGTGACACCCCTGTTTCTTGCAACTCAAGCAGGAAATTGTGAAGCTGTACAATGTCTCATCACACAAGGGGCAAATGTCAATGTCCAGACAGCAAGTGAAAAAATCACACCATTGATGATTGCATCCAAGGAGAACCTTATTGACCTAATGCAAATTCTGATTGTCAGCAAAGCAGATGTCAATATGAAAAATATAAAAAATGAGACTGCTCTGGTTTTAGCAATGAAAAATGCTTCCGGGAGCGCCAAAGACTGTGTCCAACTGCTTTTATCTAATGGTGCAGAAATAAATGATACTATATTTCATATGGCAGCCGTAGTAGGACTTCATAACTTATTTCCAAATATATCTGACACAATTAGCATCTCTATGAGAAACAAACTGCTTATTCATGGAATCCAGAATAACAATCATGATCTTGTTGAATTTCTTTTAGAGAATGGCGCAGATGTGAATCAGGGTGGTCCTTCAAGTCCCGTACCTTTGATCCAGGCTGTTAAAAATGAGGCTATGGTTACTCTACTCTTAAGCTTTGGTGCAAAAGTCAATGATAAAAATTACCTAGATACCACTGCATTAATAGAATCAGTTCGTTTGGATAACTGTGGGGTTATTAACATCTTAATCAAGCAGGGGGCCGACATGAATGTTGAAACTCGATTTGGAGATACTGCTTTGATAATTGCTGCAAAGCTCGAGAAGTTGAATGCCCTGAAGGCACTGTTGGATGGTAAAGTTGATGTTGATTTTATAACCCACAGTGGAAAATCAGCATTACATGCCTCTATAATTGTTGGAAGGTTAACAGCCATGGAGTTGCTTTTGAAGCATGGTGCTGATGTCAATCTGGGAGATCACAGTTCTCTAACTCCTCTGATGTTGTCAGTATATGTTGACTCTGAGGCCATACCAAATCTTTTAGTAGAACACGGGGCAGATCCAAACAAGCAATCTGCAGATGGCATGACTGCCCTAATGTTTGCATTAAAACTTCGTGATTACAGTAAAAATGGTAAAATAAAAAAGTTGGTTGCAGCTGGAACTGATCTAAGCAAAACCAACTGCAAAGGAGAAACTGCTTTAATGATAGCCGTTCAAAACTGTACCACTGTCGTTATAGATTTTTTGATAAAAAATGGCGCAGATGTTAATGCACAGGACAAGAATGGCTCCTCAGTGCTCATTTGGGCCGTGGCCCATTCAATAGCCAATGAGAATAAGATAGCTCTACTGATTGAGCAAAAAGCAGATGTCAACAAAGCAAATGATAAAGGCGAGACTCCATTAATTTTGGCTTCCAAGAGCTGCAATGTCAATATTATGCAGTTATTGATTAGCAAAGGCGCCAACGTTAATGCCCAGGACTATAAAGGCATGACCGCTCTCATGTATGCTGTATACTTGGATTATTATGAGAAAAGTCAACTCCTCATAGCCAGCAATGCTGAGTTGGACATTCAAAATAATAATGGAGACAATGCTGTGATGTTAGCAGTTGGAAATGGTGATGCCAAAGTGCTTAAAGCCCTTATCCTTGCTGGTGCTAACATTCATGCTTGCAATGAAAAAGGAGATGGTCCCCTCTCATTGGCCTTATCTAATCTATATGTGTACGGCTGGTCTCACATACGTGACTATAGTGTTGTTGTCAGCTTTGCCTGCTTAAGAAAATTGTTGAAGGCGGGGGGGGCACCTGATATGCGAGATCCTAGAAACGCTTTACTCTTCCACAAATTGATTGTCATACCTTGCCATCAACCAAAAACGATGGAGCTGTTCATTAGCACAGGGGCCGCACCCCCTGTGGTTCCATTAGGGGCATTATGAAGTATATGCGACACTCCTTATGACTATTGTACTGCATCCCAAAATAGTGATCTCATTTCACCTTTGATGACAGCCATATTTGATCAAAATGATGCCCTGGTTTCTTACTTTTACAGCATTTGGTACCTAACTCAGAGTGATATCAGGATGCAGCAGAATAAATTAATTTTGAAAAAATTCATAAGAGATTCCTCTGCAGGGTGCCATACCAAAAGAATTATATGCAATCCATTTAGTCTAGGTTCTCTAAGCTTTGTTGTGGTGTCAACAGCTGTGGGGAATGGCCCTGACCGAGAAGCCAGGGTCAAATTATTGCCTGTGCCGGCTGTCATCAAAAACAGTCTTCTGTTTAAACAGCGGAAGAAGTTTAATCCTATACACGCTGAAGCAGGCTCACAGGGCAATAGTTTTTTAAACTACTCACAACCTGGACTTGTTGGATTAGACTTACAGGATTAATGAAAAGTTCAATGTTTCAGACCTAATTCCATCTATTATTACCGGGTATTAACTTTAGTGATCAGCAAGTGTGTCACTTGGTTGCAGTGGGGACAAATAGAGTCCCTATACTCTGTAATTGACTGCATACTGGGTGATTTTCTGTTCACTATGCTCTAGTGTTGGTGTCTCTAGTCCCACTGGCCAAAGTATTGTTCCTTGAACCTGTTCCACTATTTCCTTCACATGGTTTGAACATAGTCCCTCATTTGCTGTCATTAATTAAAGTTAACCATTTTTTTATGTGTAGAACTAGAAAAGTCATTGGCCTGTCTCAGTGGTTTTCAACTGCTATTTTTTCCTTAAGACACAGGCATCAGTCCAGCATTAATTTAAAGGTTTTTGCCTTTTTCTCCAGTGCCCAGATTATTCCTTTTTGGTGTGGAAAAAAGGAGGGGGGGGGTGTCGAGGATTATAAAGACATTGTATACCAGGAGATCATTTCCTTGGCAGCACTTCTCTGTAAATATAATATTGTACAGAGAAATATTAATATGCAAAGGAGTTTTTCAGACTCTTGTATTTGGTGGAATGGACTAAAAGGATCTGATAATGGTTCTTCTAGGTCTTTCACAGCATTCATGAAAACCATTCCTTTAACCAATGCCTTCTCCCAGGACACATGGAATTACCTTTTTAAATTTAAATAAAACATTTTTTTAAAGGATGTTTGGACCGTGTGTATTACTATTACACTACTGAATCAATTGGCCATTATTGTAGGATTTATGTTATTTGATTGTTTGTTATTTGCACTGTTAAATCTGATCATAAAGAATGCTGGTATACTGAAATGTATCAAGTATAATGGGAATATCATCTTATTATATAATAGTATATTCCACAGCTAGCTTCTTCATTGCTTTATTAAATGCTTGCAAATGTTATTAAACAGACTTTTTGAAATGTATTTTATTTGTTTAAAGTTTCTGAAACATGTGTTCATTAGGATCTAGTCTTAGGCACATAATAGCACACTATAACTATAAGCTGGTCGTAAAATATCTCCCAAGTTTTTTTCCTCCTGAATTACATATTTTATGGAAAAGCCTTATATGACATAACATTAAAATAAAGCCAACAGTATTAAATTTAAAAAATACAGCCCCTGTCACTGTCAGGCAGGGGAGGTGGTGATCACATTCAAATGTATTCTTTTTTAAAATCTGAGGTTAGTTTCTGTATGAATTAATTCCACTTTTGGATCAATTGTCCTAATTAATCACAAGGCAGCCTCACTTGATATTAACATTACAAATTGTTATCACCATTATGTTTCATGCTTTAAATAAAATCTTTGGTAACCAAAAATTGAAGAATTTAATTTTAAATTAAAGCAGAAAAAACAACATTAAGATCAAGTTCTGTTGTCTACAAAAATGTATTTACATATAAATGAGAAAAACACAATGTGTGACAATCTTCAATTAGTTAAGTTCTTTACTTTGGGTCATATGGCTAGATAATTAATTATTTAAGAGCTATTTCAATCTGCACTTGGTGTTTTTCCCCCAATACTTGTATTATTTCTTAGAAGCATAACTGACAGTTTGATGAATTGGTCACCCATTACTTTTTCCTTGGCGTAGTATAACAATGTGGATCAGGACAAAAAAGAAATATTTTAAATCATTACAATGTATAATTAATGCATAGAACTGAAATGGTAACAATATGTAATATTACATGACATCATACAATATTCTTATTGCATCTCTCTTTTTTTTTTGTTGTCAAGGTTATGAAGTTATAACATGTAATGGATAAAATATAAACACACTGGCCTGCATTTGATGACCACATAAGACTGGTTCAGACATAAGATTGCTTCAAGTGTAGTCCTATTAATGTTTTAATATTATATTTCTTTAATCAATCGAATCAATACTTGCGACTATGAATGTAATTTTAAATAAAAACATGGGTAATTCAAACACCACTGTGATCAACATAATGGTGTTAGAATTTTAAAATAAATCAGCCTAATTGACCAAACAAATACATTTCATCATCATTTCTCTGGCAAATAGTTTTGCAATTGCATTTATCCTAACCTAAATGAAATTGTGTGAAATTTCCACCTCTAGTCAAAGGCCACATAATTTAACTAGATAAAATACTAATACTCTTTGTTTCTATTTACAATTATACAGAACAGAGATCATTTGATAAGCTCATGCCAGAGAGACATTGCTGGCTTGGCTAGTAAATTAAAGGGACTAATTTATTTATTTTGACAGTACCTTGTCTCTCTTTTAAATTTTTTAAAACAATAGGATTCACAATTATTTGCCTGAAGTTCATGGAATTAAAGAAAACATTTAGGATAAAAATGTGGATGAACAGTTAGCCCACAACCAGTTTTGCAGTACAATCAGATCTAGTGAAAATGTTCAGAGTCCCTAGTGATGGTGGCAAAGTTTAATGTCTTCTCACATACAATAACAAATGAAATGGATAACAAATACATGTACATCTATAAATTAAAAAAAAATATATTTAAAAACCTAAGTGCAAACAAAAAGTTATATTACATGCTGTACAACTTTATATAAAGTTGATAAAGATGATAACTTTTTTAAAAATCTAAGAGCATCATAAAGAATGCATTTACATTTAGTTAAATACCAGTACACTGTACATTTAGCAAAGAATTTACACAATGCAAATGATAAATTACAAATTAATTGTAAAAATGAAGTGTCAGGGGACTAAATAGTGATGCCTCTACTTAAATCTAGTTAACAAAATATTGCAAGCAGCATCAATATTTACTATACAACAACCAGGTTGTAATGGCTCCAGCATTGGTTGAAGTTCAATTTAAAGTGTTTGACACAGAATTTCATAGTTGTAAAGCATATAATACATTGCTTAGACTTAACAGCATGCATTCAACATTGCATCATTACAATTACAAGTAAATTAAGGCTACTCATTTGTTTAAAATTTTGAATGAGATAGAGATTATAGACCTACCATGAAATTAATTATTAATAGCTGATTCTGAATCACAAGCCTTTAAAATATTCTAATGACCATCGATTGAAAAATATTTTTAAATTAAAACTTTTTAGAAGTGGTCTAAATAAAAATGATTAAATAGGACTTACTAGGACAGGAATCACTACCTCAATGAACATTAAAGTAAATTTAAGATTTCAATCGCAACAATAACTATCGAGGCTCATCCTCAAGCTAATGCTCTGAAACTGAAAGTGTTTTTGTGAAGCATTAAAGAGTGCCCTAATGGATCTAATTTTACATAAATGTAAAGATTGCTATGTTATCCCTGAGTAATAAAATAATTGACTAATTCCCTTCAAACAACTTGTAGGCGTTTTACAAAAAAATACAAAAAATGTAATCCATGTCCAAAAAAATATAATTGAGAGGCTCGGCAATAAAGGTAAGTGGAAAAATCATAAATGAAAACTACATACACATTTATAATTATATATATGACTGCTGTAAAAATGGATGACGACTTAGTGATAACCGATTAACCACATTCCACATTTCATTTTTAAAATATTTTACCGGTATAGCGTAAGACACCTGGACTGCAACCACCGTAAGGATGTAACCTCAACCATTTAAACAGAATATTGATGCCAAAAAGACAACCCCCCAATAAAGAAAAAAACACCAAAAAAAACAAACGTAATATATATGTGGGTATATTACAATGATGCTGCAATATTTTGGGAAGCTAAAAATGATATATTTTTTGTGTATTTTACAAGTATATCATATATAAGCATTACTACTAACTGCATCACCAACTGCTGATTTCAAAGACATTATGCAAATTTAGATACATAAAAATATATTTTTTTTACACACATCTATTTACACAATATTTCCACTTCACTTTGACCAAGTCACCATCCCATTTTAAAGCGCCACTAACAAAATCAAAGTGAAATCATTTGTTCCCTGCTGCCCATTTCTTCTTTACTCTATGGTTCATTTCTTAAAATGTTTTCAGGTTTGCCTCACAGTTTGTTTGCACTGCGCAAGGCCTTGACCTTTTGTGCAAAATACGTCTCAACCACTTCGGCACACTGAAAGTAAGCTGTGTCCACTGGATTGTACAACCTACAATTATCAAAGATCTTTGTAATATCCTTCATAAAGTCATTTAGTTTATGGTAAGCTTTACTGTTCAACTTGGCCTCAACAATAGTCAGATCTGTGAATAAATGAAATAAATTTAAAAATTGGTAGAGTGGAACAAGTTTTAAAACTTATCATTGAAATGAAGATGAGCCATAATAATTGATGTTTGCAACAGTTAAAATTTCTACAAGACCTGAACGCCAAAAAAAATAATAAAAAAGTCTAAACTGTTCCTGGTATATACTTATGCATAACAATCCAACATTGTAACTATTTTAACAAAACCAATTATACAGCAAAAGAGTACAAAATGCAACAACCTGCACTTATACAGTACTTTAGCCCTGATATTTTTATAAATTATGCTACGCTAAAATGTAAAATGTGCATTACTTCTTTTACCAAAAATTGATTTAATTAATCTCCGACATTCAAAATGAGCGTGCACACTTACCCATAGGTTCAGAAACAATATCATAGTAGTCTGGAACTTCTCTAGGGTCCACAGGTTGTAAAAACGGCCAGGCCATTTTATGTGCCTGAAAGATTTCAGTTTGCGCATAAGACTTTATTGCTATGCTATTTGCGAAAAAGACTTAATTGCTATGCTATATACCCATTGGCTGTGATAACAAAGATATGTAACTTTGTTCTAAAAAAAATTCATGTTTAGAATACCGCATATTATTTGCTGCATGAATGCTGATAATTTGAAGGTCTTAAGTGCAAAAGTACACAAAACTAAAATTTTTGGTCATGATTCATATTAAAAATAAATTATCTACAACAAGTAAAAAAAATGTTAGAATAAAGACAAACCTGCAAATCTTTAAGTAGCTTTTGTAACTGTTGGTATTCTGATGGGGTCAAGGGCTTCTGTGCTATAGGATCAGCCACTTCTTGGTTCTGGCAATTGGGGCAAACATAAACTTCAATTGAATCAGCTTCATGTTTAGAAATGCCAACACAGTAACCATGGAACCAGTCCTGACAACGGTCGCATCCAATATAAAATCTGTTGATTATCAATGAAAAGGTTATTGAATAACACTAATTTGTACTGCTCATCAATTTCACCAACTGTTAAGTAGTGTAAAAATTGAAAAGGACATACACTGGGTAAAATGGTGAAAATGAACTGAAAATCAATGCTACTGGCGTGCAGCTTTATAATTTAAAAAAATCTTACTGATTTTCATCATAAGGTGTGCGACAGAGGCAATAAAGCTCTTCCGAAATATGCTCTTGCTGCTTGCGGCAATCTTCACACACATACGAGTCGATAAATCTAGCCCGATCCTCACTAATATTAACGCAGGCCCCATGGAACCAGTTAGAACACAAGTCACATCCTATATAGAACCTGTTCGTAATAACAATCCAACATTGTAACTCTTTTAACAAAACCAGATGATTATACAGCATAACAGTACAAAATGCAAAAACCGGCACTTACAATGGCACAGTACTTTAGCCCTGATATTTTTATAAATTAAAATATCTTTAAACATATAAGGTTTATATTTATGAGCCTGTTAATATAGCCTACAAAATAAGTACTAACAAGCCAAGGTGCACGGCAACCTGCTGTTCTGCTATGAACATATGTCTTAACCACCACAGGTTATTTAATTAAAATATTTTTGGAATAGCTAAATGTAACATACTTTACTTTAAGCTATTTCAGTTTTTGGGACACATTTTAAAACTGCCTATAACTTTTTTTTATAATCTTAAAGATAGACTAGTGAATGCTATACACTGGCACATTGAATATAGTTTTTTGAATTTGTTCTTCAAGGCCAAAAGAAAATTTCAGGAATTACTGAGCTGAAATTTTTTTTTTTTTTAATGAAAAAAATATTTGAGAAATTATGAATACCCGGTACTGTGTAATCCAAATTAAACAGCAAAAGCACTTCTTTTCTTGAATTATTTCTAATGATGCATGAAGGCCTGGAATGATATATTAAAAACAAGGACAACAAACAAACTAACTTACTTGCTTTCATCATAAGGTGTTTTGCACACACAATACAACTTTTCTCTGGGGTTTAAGCCCTTTCCTCCAGTGGAGATGAGTTTATGCTTTCGCTTTTGGGCAGCTGCTGATTTGGGGTCGGTCATTGGAATCAGAGTTTTCAGTGTGTCTTTCTTTTTGATGGTGGGTACAACCGAAGGTGGGGTTACTGAAGGCACCACTGTTGCCACCGTGGAAGCCACTGCAGCTGCGCCTGGCTGTGGAGACTTGGCAACACTTGTGGTCACCTTGCTTGTCTTTTTCAGCTTGTCTGCCATCTCATTCTAAAGTTGAATAATAATTGCTTGAATATAGTTAAATTACAGTATACATTAGTAAAGATACTAAAATTGCATCCTCTCCATTCCTATTGCACTGGAAAATAGGAGTCCAGTATTATGGTATTTAAATTTACAAAAATTCTACCAGAGTTCACACCACACACACAAAGTAAACAAAACAAGAAAAACATTAAATTTGTAACCTGTAGAATATTGCAATACATTCAGTCTCCTCAAAAGTTTTTGGTAAATATTCTATTTATCAATACTACATTTCTATACAACATATTTACAGGTTTTGGTCTAAACAGAGCAGTCATTACAACAGACCTGTTTACTCTCAAAATCCTTAAATCGTACAATATCATCACAAAATCATACAATGCGGTATCTTAATAGTAGATAAATAAACATACAGTATATATAATGCATACAATAACTACTCGCGTAACATGACTAGTGGGATCAAGTTAAGATGGCGTCAAAAAAAAGGTAACTGAAGGTAAAAGTAGATGACTGACTTTTGTATTGCAAACTGCGGCCACTTTGTTTTGAAGATGTGTATCTGCTATGCCTATTAATTTATATTTAGGTGAACGTGCAGATCACATTATCACAGTCTGTCACTGGTAAAAATACATTTACTGGTGAAATTTAACATGGTTCAAACTCGAAGTCAGATCAAAAGCTGTAAATGGGTGAAGTGAAGAAGGGGTATTAAAAATCTTAGAGCTGTTTTTGCGTGTTTTAAAAATATATTTCGAAGGCTTCCTCAGATCCTATAAAATATTTCAAAATCTAATATTGCTACGTGTATCAGTTGAGAATGCGTTCTCTAGTTTTCTCTGTTTTTGGACTCGTCGTGGTTCAGCCTTAAGAAATAATCATGTCATAAAATTAAGTCATACAGCACAGAAGCAAACTAACACGAGGAGGGACCATCTATATAGTAGTATGTACGCAGACAAAGTAAAAAATATGTACTCAGACAAAGTAAAATTGACTACCACCCCCTCCAATCCCTGTTGCATGCGTATGACAGTGAGCTTATGACACCCCCCCCCCCACCAAATCCAATAATCTGTACATACTGGTAATTATGATGTAAACTATATAAAAAATATAAAATCAATGTGGGAAGCTAGGGTAAGACCACAGGAATAAAACCAAACTGTGAAATCCAGTGATGGAGTCCCAAAGTTGTCCTGGCGCTGATACCAATGTCATTTCCGCAACTCCTGCGACTCAGTGCCAAGTTGTATTGACAATTGTCATTCCCTTGGAGCCACTGGCTGCGTGAAGAGTGGGGATCTGCCGCATTGGGCAATAGGTGGTCTCCATAACACCCCCCCCCCTCCGGCTAAGGAGCTGCACTGGTAAGGACACTTCACAAGGAGCAGAGTTTTTTTTGTAAAGCAAGGAAGCACTTGGATGAGGGAAGCCAACAAATGGGAGATCATCACAGAACAACGTTCCAGTTGGCGAGCAGCAGTGCACGAAGGAGTGAAAAAGGTAGAAGATGCGCAAAAAGAAACCTTTGCAACAAAAAGAGCAATATGGAAGGCCAAACCTAAACAGGTGTAAAGATTCTCCTGCGCGAAATGCAGCCGAGTGTACATAGCTTCTCCATGGTCTCACGAAGACGGAAGGATGCCATATATACAGTAAACAAAATGTGACACAGGTTTTTACTGTTGGGTGTTCGGCGTGCCAAGTGGTTCTCAGAATATAAAAGCCCCATCGCACTGGGTACTCATGGGTAAGGCCATAAGAATGGGACGAAGAGCAAAAGGCGCCAAAATCAGGGGGCGCCAAAATTGTCTTTAGAAAGGACCTTAATAGTGAATTGTACTATAAAATCCCATTTACTTCACAAAGAGTAAAAGATAAGGGGCACTAAAAATAGCCCTTATACTGGGCCATGGGATGGGGGGTTGTGCACATTTTTCATTATGAGTTGCATCAGCTTCCTCACAGGGGCGTTGCAAAATGTTATAAAATTTTCATAATTTTATGCCACTTTTGTTTTTTTGGTCATGGTGCAAACATTAACCCACTTGAGTAACTACTGTTTGCAGTTAGTAGATGGCGGTTAGTGACCTACATACATGTTATATTTATTTTTATCCAACCATTTATTTTATTTTGTTTATGTATTTCGAAGTGTACTTGTTAGAATTTAACACAGAGTCAGAGAGCCTGGTGAAATAAATAAAAGCAAGACGAAGATCATGAAGGTAAACTCAGCCAACCAAGAGCATATCTCTCTGGCAGGAAAGGCACAGGAAGAAGTGGAGCCCTTCACATACTTAGGCAGCACCATCGACATAAATGGCAGATCCAAAATACAGACGTAAGGGCCAGAATTGAAAAAAGCTAGATCAGCATTTGTGCTATTAAAGAAAATATGGGAGTCCAAGGAGCTAAAGCTGCAAACCAAAGTCAGAATCTTTAACACTAATGTCAAAACAGTTCTACTATATGGAGCAGAAACTTGGAAAACAACAGCGAGCATTATGCAGAAAGTACAGACCTTCATAAATACATGCCTAAGAAAGATCCTGAATATCAAATGGCCAAATACCATCACTAACAAAGATCTACTAAAAAGGACTGACCAGGTTGTGCCCATTGATGAAGACATCATAAAGAGAAGATGGAGGTGGATAGGGAATACTCTCTGAAAACCCCCAAATAACATCACCAGACAGTCTCTAACATGGAATCCACAGGGAAAAAGAAAGAGTGGAAGGCCAAAGAATACATGGAGATGCGAGCTAGAAGCAGACACACAAAATATGGGATACACCCGGAAGCAACTGGCAAGGAAAGCACAGGACCGTGCTGAAAGAAAAATTCTTGTGGATGGCCTATGCATAAGAAGAAAGAAGTAGTAGCCAAATGAAAACCGGAATTTAAGATAGGTGCCGGTAAAAATTTTTTTTCGAAGCACTGGCGAAGCCCAACAAAATATGTTACATGCACCTTGAACACCCTTACTACTTAGCACAACCCTTACTACTTAGCACAATGTGAGTAGATCTAGAGAGTTCATATGTGAAAATAAATGGCAAAATGTTGACGATAATTCCTACAAAACAATTGCAAATATGCTACTTTTGGACTTTCAGGATGTACTTTCTACAAAGACACCCTCCCATCCCCAATATTACAAAAATGTGGCGGTGTTAATTTTATAGACTAAAATATTTAAGACACCCCACACACATTTTTTAAAAACAAAATCTCCTAAATCAATATCACTCAATTTCCCTCTCAGGTCAAATTTTAGATGATCCCCAACCAACCATATTATTTGATCCATTCACTGCTGGATGTAGAATGTGAATGCAAGTTAAAACTAACAACCCAAAATGAGCTTTTTAGTAGGGGTGTGCCGGACCCCGGTCCGGAATCCGGTTCCGCCGGATTTTGCACTATCCGGTGAAATCCGGTTCCGCCGGATTTACATGTATCCGGAACAACCGGATTCCGGAATCCGGAATATACCGGATTTCGGAATTTGCCAGATTTTGTGACTCACCGGATCATAATCTGAAATAAAAGTAATTCTCTTTCCCGAATTTCACACGATCACGATACATTAATCGATTGTTTCGAGCGTTGAGCTTGTTTAATGTTTAATATTCCGTACATACCAGAGGCTAGAGTCAGCACCGCTAATAGTGGCCAATAGTGTAGGGACTTTGATAAGAAAATTTAAACTTTTTGTAAAAATAAACCAATGGCATAGTTGAAAAGATGTAATTTTTTAAAGAATTATAACACCAAAATCATATTTTTAGCTGTTGTAGTTTTAAAGTTATGAATTTTTAAAGTACGACTTGGTTTGTCATTTTTTAACATGGACTGCATCTCCACATTCTGTGATCTCATTCCACCAATCCCGTCATGCGCAATGACTATATAGTTTATATAAGGCAACGCATTCCCTGCCTTATCACTAAAATACTGTTTAGACTTAGTTTAAACTTTCAACTTTGGCACATGAATAATTAATTAAAGCTTTCCCTGACCAATGGTTTAATAGTTTTTGCACACGGCAAACTCTTATGAATGAAACTCTGAGGTAGTACTACGATACAGTTATGCAAGTGGCTGTGAATGGTTGCCAATGACAACGTGTTGCACACGGTAAATTCTGATCATTTATAATATGGATTCTACCGGGTTGTTAAAGCTCAAATTAAAACATTCCAGTTTAAATGTCTTTAAATGCATTCTGAAACACAAGTTATCAATTATTTTGATGTAAATAGTGATAATAAATTAATATTTCCTAAGTATCGTCAACTTCCGCCATTAAAAAGGGGGGCGTGGCCAACCCCATGGCGAAATTAGGTTGAGCGAGCTGCATAACCTGCTGCGAACGCGTAGAAACATGGCGTCTCTCGTAAGACACTTATCCAAATGGAACGGAACTCAAATATATATCGAAAGTACTAATTTAATAATAAATAGACACACACATCGGAAAATTAAAAACTCGGATTTTTTGGCGCCGATTGCGAATTCCCATACACAAAAAGTAGTAGTCCACCTTGACTTACCGAAGTATCTACCAATAGTACCAAAATCCGGAATCCGGGAGAAACCGGAATCCGGATCCGGCGGATTTCGCATAAGAAAATCCGGATCCGGATCCGGTTGGAAAAAACGGATCCGGCACACCCCTACTTTTTAGGTGTGTTTTTTAAATTGGAAAAAACTACCGGAATGTATATATTATCAACCCAGTCTCTTAAAATCGTAGTTCTGAGGGGTCTCGATGTACAATTGTAAAAGTCATCTAAAAATTGTACATTGTAAGCCAAAATCATTAGAGTAAACAGGTCTGTTACAACCAATCACAATTTCGCTTACAGTTATTCAGTGAGAAGAAGTCATGAAATTTATAAGAAAAGTCATCGAATCATTTTTTTCCCCCTTGATAGTAATGTTAGTGATCAATTAGTTCTTTTTATATGTTTATTAAGGATCACATAGTTTGTGACAATGGCTTTTCAGTCTTCAAGTTGTTATGGAAACATATTTGTCATCTATTTAATAAATCAGCTATATTTGCGTTTTAAAAGGGTAATTAATACGATTATATCTGTGAGTCACTTGCAATAACCACTTGGACAATCCCAAAACTAAGGGTGCAACCTATGCATTTGTCTGACCTATACTCGAGTCTATACAGCATCAAAATAAATCATAGATATTTAATTGCTAATTTCTTTGTAACTCACATAAATCTCCTGTTGTAGATTTTTCTCCATCAGGGATCTTTTTCTCAGGATTTCTTTCTTCAGTATCTCTTTGTGCTTGTACAATGCCTTCTGCTGGTTCATCACTGCAATTCGCTTCTGCTTTTCTTCAGCAGATTCTTGCTTCTTCTTGTTTCTTTGCTCTTGCTTCTCCTCTCTCTCAATTCTGTCCAAGATATTCTTCATGACTTGGGCACATATTGAATTTCTGTAAAACATTTTGAACATAGCCTCTAGCTAAACGCAATGCCCTTTACAAGCATGCACTCTAAACTAATTAAAACTGATAGTACAAAACTCCCCACTCAGCTTCTTCCTTTTTTTTCTCTCAAGGCTGTCACAGTGCCCATTTTTTTTTATAGAAAACTTTGATCACTGTCCAATACATTTTGTCAGCTTTGGTGGGAGAGTTTTGGTATCAAGCCAGTTTTGATCAACATACCTGACATGTTCCTCTTTCTGTTCCTGGGTCAAGCCTTTATTCTTGGACCTTGACTGCTCTCCTGCTGAGCCACCAGATTTTGCAACGGTTGAGATGCCACTTTGAGAGCCTCGGCGTTGAATTGCGAAGCCACTGGATGGTGCTGATAATGACATGGACACCACCGGCTGCGATTGCTGTTGTTGCTGAATTTGTTTTTGCATAGCCAGCAACTTTTGCTGAATTTCTGGAGTTTGATTTTGTAATAAAGCTTGGCGAACCACTGAAATGATTTGTTCAAAGAAAATTACAATTTACTTGATATATATATATATTTATATATATACTCAACCGAATAAATACATATATATACACTCACCTGAATAAATACATATATATACACATATAAAAATTCTGTTAAATTAACTATGTCATACAATTTGTCTCACCTTGCTCTACTACTTGAGGAGTAATAGCATATTTTGGAGCACTACCCCCTGCTCCAGGGCTGGTACCAGGTGTAGGACTAGTCACAGAATTACTACCAGCATCTGGTGATGTTGTTAGGCTTAGACCCTGGGATAACAAAGACGTAGCTGTTGTAGTTACTTGTTTTGGAGTGGATGTTAGAATCTGATGCTGACCTGTAGAAGTTTGTACAGTGAGCTGTGGCGCCAAAGAACGCACAGCGGTAAGTGTTTTTCCAGTACCACCTGCTGGGAGTACAATGCCAGTTGATGAAGGGGAGAGAATTGTTTTGATCGGACTCAGGGAGCTAGTTGCTGTCTTCAGTTGAATTGGTGATGTGGTAAGTCCTCTGAGCTGCTGAGCAGTAATTACTTTAGCCTGACCAGCACCGGTGAGCACTGAAGTTCCAGGCCTCAAAATCAACTGAGGAGCTGTGCTAACACTTTGTTTAGCAATAACCTGAGTGCCAGATGGGGGAGAAGCCAGCAGTTTTGGGACTTGATTTGTGGCTGCTGACCCAGAAATAGTGAGGGTACCGCCTGTGACGGATGAAGGGTTGATGTTCAGAAGAGATGTGCCGCCTGCTGCTCTCTGCAGTAAGGACGTACCCGAAAGAATCTGGCCTCCAAGAAGTGAGGTGGAGGGCTGACTTGTTGCTGTAACTGTGGCTGGCTTTAGTGTGGAGATTATTGTTTGTTGTCCAGACTGAGGAGATGTTAGGCTGGAGAGTAAAGTTGGAGTTTGAGAATTGTTCACAAGCACAGTTGAGACCCCTGAAAGCTGGGAAGTGGCATTGACAGTTCCTGGGGCACTGATGACCACAGCGCTATTTAAAGCAGCTGAGACGGATGGGGCAGAGACTAAATTATTTGAACTGCTTCCCAGGACAGTTGCTAGATTTTGAGCCGAGATGATCTGTGGGCCCCCAGGTCTGTTTATGATCACAGTTTTTGTAGGCGTAGAAGCGACTGAGCTAGCAAGGACTTGCCTTATGGCGGGCACAGACAGTGCCGTAGATGTGGTTGCATTCTGACTTAGAGCCAGGCTGGATGCCAACTGGGCAGGAATAACTAGACGATTCTGGGTAATGGTTGGTGTTGTTGTCACTGTAACACCACCTGGTGTGCTCACCATGATCGTCTGTGGCCGGATGCTGATGGCTGGACGAGGCTGCTGTTGAGCTGTAGCTGGGGAAGTTGTAGTTGCTGCAGGACTGGCTGAAGTAGTGCTGAGAGTAATGATTTGAAGTTTTCCATCAGGCATCCGTTGAATAATCTGACCTGTAGCAGTATAACAAATAATGAGTTAAAAAGTTTAATAATTCAAAGGTCAGAAATTTGAAAAACAAATGAAAAAAGAACATCAATCTGTCCCTCAGTATGGTGGAAATAAATTTTATAATTAAATTGTTATAATTTTTTTTAATAACTATCTTAGATATATAAAGCCATTTCAACGTTACCAGGCAAAAGTCCACGAACTTGGAGTTGCCCACCGGGTGTTTGGGTGAAGTGCAGATTTTGAACAGGCTGACCAGCTGCTTGGGGTCTAATTTGAATGGTTTGTGCTGAAAAAAGTTTTAAAATATCTAAAAATGTACTTGCACTAATTTATTTTAATATATACAAGTGTTAAATCAAGAGCTTAGACTACAAAATAATTCTATTTTCATACTGTATTTCAGAATGTCAATTTCTATAAATTAGTAACAGTAGTGTAATTTCTCAAGGCATTAAATATAAAAATTATATTGGCACTTACTTTTAGTACCCTGTTGATTGGCTGGAAGCTTTGCGTTAAGAGAGGCAGGAGATATTAGCCTGGTTATGGTGTTAACACCTGGTGTGGTGCTCACTGTTGTGCCTACTTTAGGAGCTAATGCCACACCCTGAGGCCGGACTTGTATTGTTGATCCAGGAATTTGCAAGCGTATTCCAGGACGCAACTGAGAACCTAGTAATGAGCCTAATAGATTTAAAAAAAAAAAAAAAATTTTTAATAAAAAAAAGGAGAGAGAGTAAAATTTAGATAAAATTTATACCAACAAATCAAAGCATTAACTTAAATTAATTTAAAGGCTTAATGGTTTGAAAAATTTCCCAGAAAAAAGTATGGCAGATACCTGCATTTGCAATGATTGTCTTTGGTTGCATTGTTTTGATTACACCTCCAGAGAGTAAGCTGCTTGGAGAAGATACAGTTAAGGTCTTGAAGGTTGTCCCAGGCTTGCCAAGCTGAGTTGTATTGTTAATAATGATAGTGGTGGTGCTAGATGCAGCAAGTGTGCTGATGCCTGAAGGAGATGTTCCAATCTTTATGCCCTGGTTTTCTTGAATGCGTTTTTGTGCAAGAGCTAGCCGCTGTTGCTTAAGTTGAAGCTCCATCTGTGCCTTGATCTGGGCTGTGCTCTGAGATGCAGCAACTGTTGTTAACTGAGATCCTGTTTTATCAGCTTTGTCCAGGAGAGCTTGACGTTGTTTTTCCAACCTTATTTTATAAAATTAAAGGAACTATTTTTTATCAAAGCTTTAGACAATACCAAAATTCTATATTTTGGAGTTACAAACAAAGTTTTAAAGTAAGAAATAGCTTTAGTTTAGTACTTACTTTTCTCCAAACTGTTTTATTTCCCAAAGCTCAAGTACTTCTTCGGGGACCCAAACCTCTGAAACACTAGGTTCCGTTTGTCTAACGGCTTCAATACGTTTGCGCTCACGTAAACCACTTCGCTGAGGGGTGTATTTTTCTACAAAGCAATTTTGATACAAGTTTAAACAAATCTTTTCAAGGTTACTTAAATGAAAGTACCATTCATATACCAGCACACCAGCTCAACACAAAGAATACAACTGTGAAAGTTTTTGAAATTTCACATTACTACAGTTTTAAAAATAGTTTAAAGCAAACTCTCTTACCTTTAGGTTTATCAGGAACACCAAGAGGCACAACTATTTTTCTAACCAGAAACTCTGATCGCAGACCATCTATACCCACTTCTCTGCGTTTAAGAAGCTCCGTGGTTGTGATTTCAGTTTCTGTGGAGATTGTGTTTGTGCCACCAGCAGGTGGTTTGGCAGCCAGGTCATCCCATTTTATGCAAGCCCATAAAATTCTTAGCTGCAAAGCAGCAGCAGAGAGAGATTGAAGGGTCATTGTGCGATAGCGCCATGCAGTTTTGAATAGTGGCCTTGGACATGGATAGGGCCAACACACATTGTTCATCTTACAATTATAGTTAAATAAAGCACTTTCTCGCTTTGATCCTTGCCTTGCAATCTTTCTAAGCTCATTTCTTTCTAATATCAAAACACTTTTCTTCTTTGAAGGGGTTTCAAATTTATGACACATTGGTAGGCGTCCATTTTTTGAAATCCTTGATATCTTTTTCATTCCAATTCTAGATAATTTAGCCAATTTAAATTTGTCTGCTGTAGTTCGTTTTGGTGGTAGCTTTGACTTCAGGTCTTCCAGACTAATGTTCGCAACAGCATTTGATATAACTTGAGCTGTTAAAAGAGACCCTTTTCCTGCACCTGCAGCAACTGCCTTTTCAGCCATTGTCTTAATTACCAAATTTTTAACAATATCTGAGACTGATGTGGCCTTACTAGAGTTATTACTAGATTCCATTGATGTACCTGCTTGAGATGTTATTTTTTTCTCAGAATTAACTCCTCGCTCAGATACAGCAGTTGCTGCTTTTGGTGTCCCGATTCCACCCTCTTTATCACCCTCAATATCTATCTCTTCATCCTCCATGCTGGTTTCAGCTGGCCCTCCACACGCTTCTGTGCCAACTGATATATTAGCTTCATCTTCATTTTCTTTATTTAAACCAGTACTTTCACTCTCTTCGTCTTTCTCAAAATCCTCCTCCCTATCTTCATCTTTCTCCGCAACTCCCTCAAGGCTTGTCTTTGACACCTGTGAATCCATGGTGTCCTCTGAAACCAAATTAGGTGTTCCCTCTTTACTGCTCCTGTTACTTGTATCAACAGATTCTGACCCGTTGCTGTACTCCGACTTCACCTCTAGGGCCTGATCACTAGCCATCTTGGTGTCTTTTTGCTTCTCATATCTACAGTAGGGTGAATAACACAAGCTCTCATTATCCCCACCTGTGCGACAAAGCAATGAGTAGCAAGCATGAGATGGCAAGTTGGATTTTAAAACAACTTTTTCAGCTGCCTCCCCATTTATCTGTTTGGATTCTTGTTCTAGTTTTTCCTTATTGTCCTTTTCCAACTTATTCTTCTGGGCTATTTCGATGGCCTGGGTAAGCTTCTGCTTCAGAGCGATCTGTGTTTCAATACTTAAGCGCTGCTTTCTCTCAAACTCATCTTGCTTCAGTCTTCGCTCAAGGAGATTATCAAGCTTGGAATAGGGTTTTGTTACTTTGGGATAATATGTTTTTCTCTGGAGGGCGTCGCTCACATCAACCAAGTCAATATCAACTTTATCAGGGTGCTGCTTCAATAATTCCAGAGCAAATGAATTTTCTTTATCATCAATGTACTTGCTTTTGACAAAATTCAAATAGCTCTCATAGCTCAGTTGACCTTTTTGCGCCTTTGTAAGAGATCCTTTGGAATTATTTTTCTTTTGAATATCTGTGCTTACGGAAACATTCTCTTCCTTAATTTCAGAATCTTCTTTGATGGAACTTTTATCACTTTTATCAATGTGTGTTTCTGTTTCAGCTTCATCAACCTCCATTTTTTCCTCCTTTATGTCAGGTTCTTTCTTCTCTATTTTTTCTTCTGAATTGTCTTCTGAGAATCCATCAACTTGCATATCTTCTCCCATTTCTTCTGATTTCTGCATCTTACCGCTTGATTTTGCTGCCTTTATACGACGGGCTCGAAGTTTTTTAGCCACAAGTCGCAGACCCACCGTGTCCTGAGGTATTTCTTTGACAAAATTTCTGGTAGCGCTTATCCACTGCCAACCGTTCCCTCCAGTGACACGATACTCTTCTCCTTTTTGTTTCCAAACCTGAAATTATGCATTTAAGACTTGAAAGTGATTAAATTGTTTTAAATTTTACAGCTCCCAATAATTGGTTATGTAAATAATTTCCAAACACAATCCTTCTTAATAATAATAATCTGTCAAGAATACCTGATGTTTCAACCCCATCGTGTATTTAATCCAAACAACAGGTCGTACTTCTTCTTCATCTTCTTTTCGTCTCCTTTGTTCCTTTTCTTTTTTTTTCCATTCTTCCCTATCTGACATTGTAATCCTATTCAACCGTAAATGCCCTGAAAATATTATGTATTTTATTATACTGATAAGTACTTTTACTTTACAAGATTTATATCTCTTATTAAACAATATAGAAAAACTAGTAGTAGTTATTGACTGCAAAGCATGCCTTGTAAAGTTATCAGTGTCTACCATATCTTAAAAAACGTTATGTTAAAAAATCATTTTACTCTCTTCTGACTTTATTCCCTGTGCTTGGACAACTAAACTCTAGTTCATGACCAAATTAATCATGCAGACAGAAAATCAATAACTTCAACAAAAATTTGAAGAGGTGTTTAATAAAGTAAGCAAGAGGCTGAGAACTATATATATCAGACTTTATATAAATCACATGATATCACTTGACTGCTTTGTATTACCAAATATTTGGTTTAAGTTTAATTTAGAACAAACTATCTGACTTCTTTACCTAGAGATTCATGCCAAACTGGATTCATGACACATGGCTTTATACAAGCTTCAAGTATGCTTAATGCCAAGGCAAAGTCTCGAGGGTTTTGACACATCTGCACTGCTTTTTGCCAATTCTGCCGGTGGTTTGGCCAGTTTATGTGCAGAAAAGGAGCCTGCAAATAAAATAACTGAGTACTGTGAAAACTATTCAATGGCAGTCAACACCTCAAAATAATTTTATTATTATTATCAGGCAGCAAAACAAAATATCTACCCGCTTTGTTACTTGTAACAATTAAAATGTATAATTTAATGCTTTTAAAAACAGCAACATTATTGAGAATAATTTTTGTAAATGTAAAGTTGGATAGACCTTATTAAAGATATCAGGTAATTTATCTTAACTTTCATAAATTTGCCCTCGTTACTTTTTTAACTCACCTTGGTCAATTAATTCACCACTACACAAATAAACTTTAGCTACCACATAATCTAATTTTTAAAAACAAGAACTAAAAAACTGTTAAATGGCTATTGTTTTTGACAGGATACAAAGGCAATCAATGGTATTTTGTTTTCTTTTAAACCTGTTTTGTACCACCTTTACAATACCATAGAGGTAGGGGTGTGCCGGATCCGTTTTTTCCAACCGGATCCGGATCCGGATTTTCTTATGCGAAATCCGCCGGATCCGGATTCCGGTTTCTCCTGGATTCCGGATTTTGGTACTTTTGGTAGATACTTCGGTAAGTCAAGGTGGACTACTACTTTTTGTGTATGGGAATTCGCAATCGGCGCCAAAAAATCCGAGTTTTTAATTTTCCGATGTGTGTGTCTATTTATTATTAAATTAGTACTTTCGATATATATTTGAGTTCCGTTCCATTTGGATAAGTGTCTTACGAGAGACGCCATGTTTCTACGCGTTCGCAGCAGGTTATGCAGCTCGCTCAACCTAATTTCGCCATGGGGTTGGCCACGCCCCCCTTTTTAATGGCGGAAGTTGACGATACTTAGGAAATATTAATTTATTATCACTATTTACATCAAAATAATTGATAACTTGTGTTTCAGAATGCATTTAAAGACATTTAAACTGGAATGTTTTAATTTGAGCTTTAACAACCCGGTAGAATCCATATTATAAATGATCAGAATTTACCGTGTGCAACACGTTGTCATTGGCAACCATTCACAGCCACTTGCATAACTGTATCGTAGTACTACCTCAGAGTTTCATTCATAAGAGTTTGCCGTGTGCAAAAACTATTAAACCATTGGTCAGGGAAAGCTTTAATTAATTATTCATGTGCCAAAGTTGAAAGTTTAAACTAAGTCTAAACAGTATTTTAGTGATAAGGCAGGGAATGCGTTGCCTTATATAAACTATATAGTCATTGCGCATGACGGGATTGGTGGAATGAGATCACAGAATGTGGAGATGCAGTCCATGTTAAAAAATGACAAACCAAGTCGTACTTTAAAAATTCATAACTTTAAAACTACAACAGCTAAAAATATGATTTTGGTGTTATAATTCTTTAAAAAATTACATCTTTTCAACTATGCCATTGGTTTATTTTTACAAAAAGTTTAAATTTTCTTATCAAAGTCCCTACACTATTGGCCACTATTACTATTAGCGGTGCTGACTCTAGCCTCTGGTATGTACGGAATATTAAACATTAAACAAGCTCAACGCTCGAAACAATCGATTAATGTATCGTGATCGTGTGAAATTCGGGAAAGAGAATTACTTTTATTTCAGATTATGATCCGGTGAGTCACAAAATCTGGCAAATTCCGAAATCCGGTATATTCCGGAATCCGGTTGTTCCGGATACATGGAAATCCGGCGGAACCGGATTTCACCGGATAGTGCAAAATCCGGCGGAACCGGATTCCGGACCGGGGTCCGGCACACCCCTACATAGAGGGGTAGGTAAAAAAATTCCCATAAGAAGCTAAACAATTTTTTAAATAGACTTTTCACCCTCACCTCCCCGTAAATACAATTCAAATCACTGAAGAAGAAAAAATTGTTGAGACACAAACCTGAATGTTCCCCTCCAACTGAGTAATCGTAAGCCGTAGTGTAGCCAGAGTGCTCATCCGGTTTCCCATAACATTTCCATTCCACTTAAATTCTGAGTTTTGAGTTAGGGAGAACTTGTGACTCAGGTGTCTCTTCTTATCTCTCTCTTCATTGTGCTGGTGTTTGTTGAGAGCTAATGTATTTGTTGTGTATTGGTTTTGATACTGCTTGTAGGAACCTTCTGCCCCTATAAAAAAAATCAGAGCAAAGGGATAAGAGAATGGAGCTGCAAACAAAACAAGACAATGGAGCTGAACTGGAGATCCATTGTTTTAGGGCTGCTCCTTCCTTCACTAATTTTTTTTCTCCTTTTTTTAAAAAGGGCAATCATATTAAAATAGCTCAATCAAAATACCTTTGCAAAAATTAATAATTTTAAAAATGCCAAATTGATATTTTACTGTCGCAACTAAATCACATAACCCTGAGAGTGCCAGCAGTAACCACCCTGTGATGTGATCCTGCATGATTTGAATAAAAAGTGGAGGTTTTTATCTTGTTTGGAACTCATCTGGGTGTTAGTATAGGGTAACTTAGGGTATATTTGTCTAGTGTTGGTAAGAATGATCGAAAAGTGAGGGCTGTTTCATTGCACTCTATTTCTGGGCATATAAGGTTACACTTTTCTTAACCTTTATCCATTTCTGGATATAAAATTCTTTTGTTTGTTATTATCAATTAATTTTTAGGAACTTAATCAGTGTTACTTCCTTTTGATTATTACTATAAATGAATTTGTTTAAATTGAATAAAAAATAATTTTGTCTTTTGTTTTTTTTTCTTTCTGCTTCTAAAAATTAAGCAGCTTATGTCTTTGTGTGTGTAAAATTATTGCCTAATTGATAACAAAAAAACTAAATGACCACAAAAATATAATATAATTTAAATAACAAAAAAAAAAAAAAAAATAAATAACCAAAAAAAAATAATATAATTTAAAAAAAAAAAAAAAAAAAAAAACTTCAAGTATATCTTCTAAAAAAACTATTATTTTGAGAATTGCCCATCTATTCTTTTGTGAGAGAGATCCCCACAACCCTAACCTCACTATCCCTTACCCTCTTACCATCCCCCTCTCTTTTCGTTAAACCTGGTATTAAATAATAACCAGAGCCTTGAATATTAAGAAAAACTTCTTTCATTAAAAACTGTTTTATTATTAAAATTAATAAAACACATAAGTATTTATTAGTTAAGAAATTGTTTAAAATAACTGCTTTAAATTATTTGTGTACATTTATTGATAAAAATGATTTATTATACATTATATATTTGGGTCTAAATAATAATCAATGATTTATATCGACAGTTGTTTTTTTTTTTTAAAAAGCCAAGTAAAATGACTGCATAAACCATTTTAAGAAAGTTACGGAAATTTGTTTGAAAGAAATTTCGTCTACAGAAAATTGATCAACAGAAGTTTGGTCGAACGTAAATTTGATGGAATTTTATTTTCAGTTCACACGATCAAATTTTTGTCATATTTCTTTTTGAATGCACTATACTATATATTAAAAAAAAATAATGTGTACAAAAATAAAGCTGACAACAAGATAATAAATTTATTTACCTAATTTGAAGTAAAGCGATTGCTGAACACGGCTGGATGCTACAGTTATCTTGCCTCTATTAACCCTTGTCAGTTCCCCATCTTTGTTCAAGACCAAGACTTCCTCTGAACTTTTCCCTGTTGCTTTCATGGAGGTTGTTGTCATTGTTATTGAATCAGTGAACAACTTTGGCGTTAAAGACCCAGTTTTTGATCTTGTGAGCATCTTTCTTGATTCTATGGCTGTGATCAGATTAGAGAACGAACATTTAATTATTCTCAAATTTCAGAGCCACCCTAAGCACATCTTAAATATCTTAGTAAAAATAGCCAATCTTTACAAACTTGTATATTCATGAGCCTTCAAAAGAATAAAAAAGTTTTTTTTTAAAATGAGAAATACCTGATGCACTCATCGATGTTGTAGTTTGGGTGATGTTACTGCCATTGGGATCATCTTTATTAACAGAGTGACGCTGAACTTGCAATGTAACTTTCCCACCTTCTCTGTTCACCAACAAGACTGTCTTAGTTCCGCCATCCCCTTTATTATCCTCACCACTTTTGTCGACAGCATTCAGCAAAGATTGTCTGGCTGATGGTAGGAGTGACTGTAAGCTAATAACTTTTGGTTTGCCATCAGTGCTTGACTTGATAGCCTCTGCAAGAGCAGACTTACTGCTCACTACAATTTTATTATCATCTTTGTTTTTATCACTACTTTGTGAAGAATCATCTCCATCGCCATTGCCATCCAAGGGTAATGCGGAGATTTTTGGTTTTTTAGACGGAGGTTCTTCTGATTGCTCTTTGTTGCCTTCTGTAGATAATGTGGTGATGGTCGAAGATTTAATAGTGGTAACAGTGGTAGTAGTGGTTGTAGTTTCAATAACTTGCGTTACTGTGGCATCACCGATTTGGCTTTTAGACACAGAATTTATTACTTTCTCGGTGGTCACTTTGGCTTCTGCCTCAACAACTTCTTCAGAACTCTGTTTATAAGAATTTGAAACATAACTACAGTGAATATAAATATTGTTGATTGAGAAGTATATGTCAAGGTGCAATAAATTAACACAAAAGTTTAGAATTTTTCTATCAAAAACTAAAGCAGTAACGCTTGTCATAAGTGGTGAGATGTTGGTAATGATGAATGTTATATCCTAGGATGTTGTGAAATCTTTTTTGATAGATGTGTTCCTGATACTGTATAGGATGGAAGAAACACATTTGGGACCATGGGAAATGCATGGATCAGGGTGGTCCAAGGAAAGTGTTTGTGGGTTCAAATCACACTTCTGACACCAATGTAACATATTTTATAACACCGATATGACAATCCTTGGTGGTAACATTGTTAACAATACTGTAATGGATGGCCTACCGCTGCTGATTGAATAAATGATACGTTCCAGTGTTCACTCCTCATACTTGTTTCTCTCTCACCAAGAAGTGATAATGTCCAATTATATAATTCACAACACTTTATTACATATAATAAATATGTCAAATAATAAATCTTAAATAAATAGTCAAATAATAAATCTTAAATAAATACATCAAATAATAAATCGTATGAGGATATCCTTGTAACAATTCTAGGATACAGTCAATAATTACACACACATTCAATATTCTACATCATGATAATTTAATAATCCATACAAGAAATATTTCAATATGTCTTCCACCTTTACAAAACAGTCGTGCACACTTCTTGGCTCTACCTAATGTGTATTCTATTCCGCTCTAGAAACTAGTTCTCGCTCTTTTCTCGTGATTCACATCATGTTCATAAAATCAACACGCCATGGTTTTGTGAGAATGAATATTAGGGAAGTGTGAAAAATTATGGTTAACTTGGTCTGTTACAGGGTGTGGGAGGTTAATGATTTATTAATGTTTGGTGCTAGAGTATTTGTTGCTTATACTTTGTATTGTGTGACGTATTTGGGAAATGACGTTGTTTAATGTTATGTTTCGGTGGTTAATAATGGAGTATTGGTAATGGAGTTGTAGAGTGAGAACGGGATGAAAGAAGACGCTGTTTACTTAAATAAAGAAACATTTTTTATATGAATCATTGGTTTGTCAAATAGTTATATTACCCCTAGACAATGAAGCTATTGACCTGTTAATTCCAGTTCGTAACATGTGTGTTTTGTGTGTCTGGAATTCACAAGACACAACTGACACATCATTAGTCGTAAGATGGACGCACCAGTGTGTGGGGATGTAGGCTGGTGCTACTGAACACGCATCACAATGTCGGCTACCACAAAAGAGATATGGCCCAGGACATTGATTTTCCCAGACTGCTCTTTAAGGTTCTTATATTGCAAACTTGATGCCCCATAAGAGTAAATATTGCCTTGCCAAAGGCGACGCCTCTGCTTTTAACTAAATAACTGGATTATAAGTGTCCTGACAAACCAGAAGTTTCCAAGTATCTACTCAAACGAAGAACAATTGCAACACTATCAAAAGAAGATATAGCTTGCAACTATCATAGCTTGCAAATGAGTTATAAATAATTTATAGAAAATTCATATCTCACCACATCATGGGCCGAATCCTCATCTTTGTCAGATGATTCTTCATCATCATCACCCTTTCCTTTATTTTTCTTCTTCTCTGCCTCAGCTTCTTTCTTTCTTCTCTCTTCTTCTTCCTTTGCTTTCTTTTCCTCTGCTTCCTTTTCCCTTCTGAGAGCTCTCTCTGTTTCTAGTTTCATTAACTGAGCTGCAAATAAAAATACAAAATGCAATTGGGAAAAGACATTTGAGTCTACATGCAATTAAATTTAGGTTTGCAAAAACATTTATTAAAAAAAACACACACACAAAAATACACCTGATGTAATTATAGTAAAGATGAACAAATGTAAAATAATTTCCATTTTAGTTTCTATTATTTATTATAAATTATGTTTTATTATTTTTTTTTTTTTTTACCTTAGCATTAACATAAATTTTTTACAATTTTTAAAAATAATTGTTCAAATACTTACCATTTTCAATTTCAAGAACTGATTTTCTGCTTCCTTTTACAGCTGCAGTTAGCTCCTCTGTGTAGGACATTTGTTTAATTATATCGTCTTTCATTTCATTAATAAGGGTTATAAGATCTTGTTCCCAAATCGGATTTAGACTTTCAAGCAGTTCCTCCAGCTGATACTTTGTGCTGTAGTATCTGACTTCTTTGTCACTTTCACTATTTATTTACAATAATTAAAAACATAAATTTATGTAGAAATGAATGAGAAAAAAAGCATTGACAATTGAATAATAAAAATAAATATAGCAAAATATGTGCAAAACACACTTAAGACAATGAAATAATAAAAGAACTATTACAGTATTATATATATAGGTGAATTCCATCATAACTGACATAATTTTCAGATAAAAAATAAATTCAATATGAATCCAGTATAAATTATAAATGAAAATATCATTAGAGGCTTCTATAAATTTTTGTTTCTAAACATATAAATTAAACAATATGGATTTATGAGAAAGTGAATCCATAATTATTTTTTTTAATGCAACTACGTATTTATTTGTTTTGGTGATCAAATAGTCATTTTTAATATAGTAGTTACTATTCTAGTGTCTCTGGTTTTTCATTTTTATTTTACTTTAGCAGTTTAAATAGGTTACATGTTTTTAATACTTGTAAAGCGCTTAGACCTGTAAGGTAAGCGCTATATAAAAATGCCTAAATAAATAAATAAAGGGAAAAAAATACTACCAGGAATTTGATAAATGAAGAGGCTATTCACACCCGGGTACCAGAAGTGAGAGGTTGGGATTAAAAAACTATTTAAAATATTATTGTTGGGTTTGTAAGACAAAATGAGGTATCAAATGAAAGATAATTTAATGGACTATATGTTTATAAACTTGCTTCTTCAGTTTAACTAAAATAAACTACCACAAATGACATCTTAATTCAAGTTGGACACCAGGTCACGTGTCACACAAAACAAAGATAACTCCATACAAGATGCATGAGATAGTATGTTTAAGTAGCATCAAATTTTATGTCACTTAATTTTTGGATGATTTGTCAAATTTTACATGGAATCTACATATATAGATTTAAGCCACAATATTTTTGTACATACACTATTATTCTGCGACAGAGGAACCAGTATTTTCTTGCATGTCTGTCATAACCAACAGGTTCTTGTCTGCAGAGAAGCCCACTTTTTTCTGCCTCTGACACACAGTCTGTAACTCCCTTAACCTACAAAAAGCACAAAATATACAGATCTGACGTTAAAGACCTAAAATTTTTCTTTAAAGCATTCCAAAGTAATTACATGAGTTACAGAAGGGTAGTGTTTTAATACATTTTTGTATCATCACTTATTATTGGTGAGAAACATGTTTATTGATTATGTATGTTATTAGCTAAAAATAAAGATTAAGTACATTCAAATTAATAATTTACTATTTACTGTATTCAAATTCAACCAATAAAATTTGTAATGTTCTTTAAATTAAACCTCTTTACTTGGGTTAGATTACAAACAACCACTGCATTTAATATATTTCGTCTTTAACAAAATTAAATTTAAACAAAAATTATAAAGAAGTCTTTAAAACATGAACCTGGTGAGCTCTGCATACACTACAAAGCCAATCATCTTCTGGCACTTCCTGCATAGGTGGTTCAACACAAGCCAAATGGTAAACGGCAGAACATGTTTCACAACATAGCAAATCTCCCAATCTGAAAATAAAAAATTATAGCCTTATTATTTTGGAATATTTGCAAGTAATTTCAAGTCATTAAAAATATAGATGCATAAAATTAAATGGTTAATGCTGAAGCCAAGAACATTAAATTCAGTTAACTTATCGACTTAAGAAAAAATATTATTTATTGGTCTTATGATATTATGTTCTTAAACGAGGGATCTGAAACTCAAAACCACCAGAAATGAAGGGCTGCATGAAGCCAAATTTGGGGACAAGCCTACAAGTACAAGGGGGCATTGACCTGTTAAACCATAATTAGTAATTAGCCACATATCAGATCTGTTCTTTATATTTATTAATAAAATTAGGCCTATTGACACCAATTTAATAACCAGCTCCAGTAAAAAAATAACAGACCCCCCCTCCCCCCTCATTTAATATTCAGATTGAACATTTTTTGGTAATAGTGTATTTAGCGGCATGGGTTTTGACAAGAGTTTTCTCACCCTAAGTGCCATGACTTCACTTTGGGGAATCCCAACAATGGACGTAGGGTGCATAGACCAATAGTTGAGTTGGTCCTGAACGACATGTATGATAACGTAAGAAACTGATCATTATTCGCGTCATGAAGTAACTCTGAACATCGATACAATTAATATGAAAAAATGTCCAATTATTTTAATAAAATTCACCTCACAAGTTTTTAAAAAAAAATTGTTTAAATAGAAACTTGTCCTTGCTGATATCCTAAGATGAACACTCAAAAAATGTGTGTGTGTATCGTTAAAAATGATGTCTTCTGATTGGTTAAAAAAAAGAATTCCAGGACATATCGACTTAATTTTTCTGGGTATTGGAGAGCCCCTCCCCCACTTACAATACAAAAGTAAGAAAGAAAATAATTTCTGGGGAGGGGGGACCCCACCAACCACATAAACACCCCACCCCCCACACACACTTTTTTTTTTTTGAAAGACAAAAAATCTTTTGAATTTGGAACTATGGCCGGTAGTTCACCTGGGGAAGATTCATGACAGTTACACAGTTACCACAGAGGACAGTGGCAGCCCTGTCGCTAAATGCACTTTTTATGGTAATATTTCTGGAAAACCTAACTACCTGTATTATAAGTAAAGCAAAAAAATAAGAAAAATACTATTAATTACTTGTGGCAAGCTCTGCAATGATCATCATAATGTATATTTCCTTCATTTACTATTTCCTCTCTAACTTTGGCAGTTGCCAGGAATAAATCGGTCAAGGTTTGAAGTACTTTAAGCTTTTCAGCAAATGCAACAAATGGATACTCGGGTGATTCAAGAATTGATAAATGTGCACGATATTCTGGATGTTTTTCACTGTCTAAATAAGAACGAACAATCTCTGGCCATGTCATGGGATCCAAAAAGAATAATGAGACATTTATACTGTCTTTCAAATCTTGTGGCCCAAATGTTGAAGAGCTACTCTCCTCCTCTCGAAATAAAGCTCTGAGTAATGTTAAATGTATTTCTGCTAATAAATTACTTTGTTCTTCAGATAAGAGGCAAGCACAGAAGTCCTCAAATGTAAATGGGGATAGTCTAAGAATAGTTCTAAAATGTCTAAGGACTTCATAAACACCAATTCCTTGGAGAACATGCTCAGATGGTAACAATAAGTCTGTTGCACTAGCAGGAAGCTCAAGCAAAGGTAACTCTTTATCATCAGGAATATCAGGTGTTTTAGGACGTTTTAATAAGAGTCTTTTTCGACTGAGAGAACTACTAACTGTACTCAAACTTTCATCACTTGATTCAGCATCTAATTCTCCATCGAAGGAAGCATCTGAAGCATCTGCATCATTGTCAAACCCAAACGTGTCTGTGTTGTCTAGATCTGTAATATCACTGGACCTGTCAAACTCTGGGAGAGATGAAATTTCATCATCTTCAGCAAGTAGTTGACTGACAAAGTGCCTGCTCCGATGAGCTGCAGCCCGTCCCCTAAGTCGTTCAGACCTTACAGATTTGAAATGCGTTATTGGCGTTGCTGAAGCACTGATGTTCAAGTTATGCTCAAGATTTTGGTAAGCTTTTGGTTTTCGCAAAAAATTCGTTCGATTTGTTGATACTGGTGTTTTAGGAGGGCGGCCCCTTGACCGTCGGCCTCTTGTTGACATTTTATGAATTGGGTGGGGGTGCTACGGCATTTCAAATCGAAAGTAGAATATGAATGTTAGATCACTGTGGCCTCCCTTGGCGATATACTGTGTTTTTAGATCCCATGTTGAAAATTTTCGGAAGCCGCCATTTCAGAAACTACGGTCACGTGACCATCCGAACCTATCAAAACACACTTTTAACTCTTTTTCGAAGTCAAAAAGCAAATTAAACGCTATTTAATGATGTTTACATATATATCTGATCACACTGCACAATTATTTTCTGATTGTTTTCTCAATTATATAAATAAACCTCTGAAAGCTGCAACATAATGAAATTTCCAATCGAGCAAGCCAGCTAACACACTGGCAAGAGCGCGTCGACTAAGCGATAAGACGATTGGCTATTTCTTTTATTAGAATCTATCTAAAAATTCGGAACTCTCTGGAAATAATGCACTGTTTCACTAGCATTTTTCAGCCCTTTTAATGTTTATTGCATTACTATTGAATTAATGTGCATTGTTAAATTAGAAAAATTATTTATAAACTTGTAATAATTTGCAAATGAGAGCGTAAACAGTCGACCAATCAAACTCTTCGTTACAAAGGCGTTTGGATTACAAAAGAATGATACTTTGCGAGACTTTTCGTTATTTAGCGATACTTAATTAAAAATAGAATCTGCACGCGTTGTTAAATGAATGCCAGTTGTCCGTTCCCGCATTTAAAATCAAATAACATGTGACAGCTGAGGTTATTATTTTAATTTAAAAATAATTTTGAGACAATGTAAATAAAGATTGCAAAGTAAAGACCCTTCTCCATTTAAGCTATAGGCTTTAAGTGATAATTTAAAAGATTCAAATAATATATCAGTTGAGATTCTAATTCTGATAGACTACGTTGCTGAAACCAAGTACTGGCATGTGTGCAACGGTTTGGGAAACGATTATTGGAGACTATTCGTTTTAAAAAAATATATATATATTACTTGGGGATATATTTTAAATTACTTACAGAAATTAAACACTTCTACATTTTATAATCGAAACATATTACAACAGCTTCTACCTATCTATGAAATGTTAAACCTAAATAATCCCAAAACAAGCAGCATTTATTTTTGTAATGTTGGCGATCGATATTCTTTACATTCCATACCATGCTTATGGCAGGAGGGATTTTCTCTCATTGATATATTATTAATGCATAAGCTATTCATATAATTTGGTTAAGTCGATTGGTTTGTTCAATATTACATATAATTTGATTACTTAACAGATGTGTAGCTAAAGGGGACAGATGTCCCTGGCACCAGATTAGCAGGGTCGCCAAAATGGCTTGAAGGTATTTTATTGATGAAAATCAATGTTTCCGATTTGAAAAAAAAAAAGTAAGGGGGGGGGGCGTAAAAATGACTCTGTCCTGTGCAGCAAACAGTCTCTTACCCTTCTGCTACTTAACTTAAGATATGTTGAGATTTACTGTATTTATGACAATATCATTTTAAACAATTTTCTTTTACGTAAAAATACAATCAAAAGCAATTACTTCCATGTTGAATACTTCTCTGCAATAAAAAAAATATTAACAATGTGCGTAGTCTGTGCGGCTATAGAATCTCTGTTACTAGTTTTGGTTGTTAAGTCTAACGCCTGTTGGAATCTAATTTAATAATTATAACAGGGTTGAACTGCAGTTTTTACCATAGTTTTTATCATATAGGCTCCTAACCGACATTCAATTACTTTAAAAAAAATTAAAAAAAAACAAACAATTGTATGCAGAATATAGCGACACTTTAAAGAGTCTCCTCATAAAATAATTGTTATTTATTAATTTTGTTGTTGTACATTTGGCTTTCCAGAATAAAGCTTATCAGGTCAATCATCCATGTCAACAAATAAAGTATACAAAATGGCTGCCTCCTTTCCAGGCACTAAAAATGGTCCTTATGGTAATATGTACAAGATGCAACCATATCAGTGCATTGACGTCATTGAGTTGCCAGATATAATGTACAAACTCAATAGTTACTACTCGGTCTCACAAGAGATTCACGTAAGTTTTTTTTTCTTCTTTCAGATACACACACATTTGTTTTGTTTAAAATTAGACCTTTCCTGGCTAACTAATAATGTGAAGCTGAAGACTGAAGAGATAGCACCCTCGTTCCAATAGGGTCAAAACCCAGGTTAGGGATAAGTTTAGGGTTCAGGTAAGGTTTAGGGATAGATTTAGGGTTCAGGTTAGGTTTAAGAATATATTTAGGACATAAGTTCGCGGGTCGCGACTACCTAGGTAAAAAAATAAAAAACGTGGTTCTATCTCTTCACATTTACTCTAATAATAATAATAAAAGTTATTTGAAAAACACGCTTCATCCCCAAAAGCTCGAAGTAAGTACCGTAATAATAAGTGGTAAAAGTGCAGTTCAGGTGCGTATATTATTATTATTTCTTAACTTACGTGCATTCTTTAATAATTAAATACAGGCAGTTATAGTTATAGTTATCTAATTCTGACTTATAAATCGCATCTTTTCTTTTTATTTTCCTTCTAAAAAAAGAGTCTTTAACCATCCCCCAACCAAAGTGACACAGCCCCATTTGTTTGTATTTTTCTTTTCACCCTATGCCAGATTTTTAGCCACCTTTAAGTTAGTATGCTAACGAAATTTTCAAACTGTAAGCCTGTTCACAAAAAAGAATGAAATACTAGATTTTTTATTACGCACAAGCGCCCCCCCTTCTTTTTTTTTTCCCTCTCAGAGCGCTCGGAATATAGGAATTTGTCCTTTGAAAACAAAAAATATCTTCGATAAGACTTCGTCACAACAGAACTTATTAAATATGGTGAAAGAGAACTATACATTCAGACGCAGGAACTACACACGTCATCATTGTCCTGGACCTGCTGTGAAGCTGAAGAAAGAAAAGTGGGGGGTGCACGAATACGTGCCAATGTGTGATCCCGTGTCCACTTTAAAAAAAAATATTTGTGACGTTGCAGAAATGGGGGAAATCGGAATGGTAGCGTGGGGTCATTTTGATAGTCGTCTCACCCTGAAGGTTGCTACTACGCTATCCGTGATTGGTCAGCTCTAATTTGAGTACCCCTCCTCTTTTTTCGTATGCAAATCCGCTAATTAATGGTGACTGATTTTTTTATATTATAAGACTGACTCGTTTTGGCTTTGCGGTATTGCTGGTTGTAGGATCATTTTGTTTAAAATGGCATTACGACCAAGAAACAATAACTAAAATTGTTGATGCAACGGGAATTTTTAATGGTGCAGCATTTGGTTTATACGCGCACCTTGTGGGGCAACAAATAACGTTAATACAACTGGAATTTCTCCTAAGGCGCCCGTAACAATTGCAATGTGGCTTGTAAGCTGGGTTCGTATGTCAAGTATGTGAGCTCCCTTTAATTACCGGGATCTGCATATCACCCGAAACGGGATCTCACCGTAACCGGTATCCCACCGGGATCGGTAACAAACTGGATTGGGATCCCACCGGGATCAGGATCTCACTTGGATCAAAATCCTATCGGGATCGGAATCTCACCGAAACGGGATCCCACCGTATTGGGATCTCATTTAGTTTGGGATACCACCGTAAACGAATCTCACCGGGATCGGTATCTTACCGGGATCGGGATCCCACCATGACCAGGATTCTATCGGAATCACATCAGGTTCGGGATCCCATCATGATCCTTCCGGGTGCTATCGGAAAACTGGAAAAACGAAAGGTTTACATAAGTTATTTTAAGTGTTTTTATAGGAGACAAATTAATTATTATTTTTTTACTATAGTGTTTTTGTTTTGTTGTTGACATTTCGTTTAATAGCAATGTGAACTAAAAGGACGTAGCAGATGTTTTTTTCTGAATGCAGCTCCGGGAAAACTCCGGTTATAGTTGATAGTAAAGTTATAAAATAAATACATTATTTATTTTAACTAGATTCATCGAATTGGGCAACTTTTATAAAGTATCTTTAAAGATAGAAGAGTTATCCTTGATTTAACACAACGGCTCCGTAAAACACAAAAATTCATAAAAATGTACTTTTTTTTTATCTAATAAAATTTGTTAAATTGTTGTATTCCAATAAAAAGATGGTATATAACTTTTAAAATACTTTTTATAAAGAATTTACATAAATTTACATGGGAAAATAAGAGATTCAAAGAGAAATAATATACGCACCTGAACTGCACTTTTACCTAATAAGTAAAGCAGGGTAACTGACAGTCAGTTACTGTGATGTAAACTGGGACTGGGGGTTTAGACTAATTTATATTACAAAATGAAAGAGTGTGCCACATTCACCATCATCATTTCCTTATGTCTTCAGCAATAGACTCTTGGTATGTCCTTTCCATTAAAATTAAAGTAACTAATAATTAACAGACCTGTTTACTTTTTAAATTTTGGCATAAAATATTAAAATGTATGATTTTAATATTTCTGAGAGTCTGTTACGATTGTATGCCGAAACCTGTGAAAACTAAAATTTTACAAGACCAGCTTAGGGGTCATTCGCAAATTACATCATGCTCATGGGGGGGTGGGGGTTGAAGTGGTGACTTGACATTACGTCAATTTGTGATGTAATGGGGGCTCAAATTTTATGGCAGTGATAGAGATGGTCTACATTATACCAGATGTACAGATGTGGAGAGAAGTTATAGCAGACGTAGATAAGAGGTTAACGTATACCAGATGTAGAGATGTGGAGAGAAGTTATAGCAGACGTAGATAAGAGGTTAANCCTTCCCTGTCATCCAGTCCAGAAAAATTCATGCATCAGATATTAAAAAGAACGTGTATTCAGCATTAAACAATCGTTTTTATTTTTAAAATGTTCCTCAATTTTTTTTCAGTATGCGATTTCAAATTAAAACTCTGACCCCCCCCCACCATCCCCACCCCCTTTTTTTGGCCACCCTGTCTAATGGTTGAAACGCCCCTGTAAGTTACGCAAAGTGCCAGTTCAAAATATTTCATACCAACAGGTTGATGGCATTAGATTTTGTCAATTTTGATTTTAGCTATCTTAGTTAGTTTATTTGGTGTTTTTTTTGTTTTTTTTTCACTTGAGTTCACTGAAGAAGGCTTTCTGTCGTTGCTAAGTTTGTTGTTTTTTTAGACCATGTTCGACTCGCTTCCTTGTGCCACAACCTGCGGCCCACACCTCCTTATTATCATTTTTTTTTCCCTGTTAATATTTTTTTCTCATGTTTTGAAATATTCTCATCCCAACAACCACCACCCGACCCTTAAGTTAATCCGCCTCTGAAACTACCTCCTACAAATGGGAGTTGGAAAAGCTGCGACCTTGTACAAGAGGGTCGACCTTCAAGGTTTCCTAACAACAA